TCAAGCTGTCAAATTCTAGAAATCAACATTAGACAATTTTAATTGTGAATTGTATTAAAAATTAAGTTTAAATAACACTGCGACTTTAATAAATCGGAGGTATGTGTGTTAATTCAACGATTGTCACCGAAAATCGTCAGAGGTGAAAAATTACTATTATTTTTGGGGTTATGTGAACTTCCAAATTATAGTTTATTTTGTTTTTTGTTTCAGAATCTATAGATAATACCCAAGAATATATACAGAATATACCCAATTACGCATTGAGCAAATTTTTTGTTTTCAACAAAAGACAAAGGAAGTTTTAAAAAAGTATGACAATTTTATTATTTTATTTTTTCACCAAGTTGAAAGTTACTACTTGCTGGTTAAACTATAGGGCTATTGTTTGTTAATATGTCAAGTAAACTTACATGTAACTTTACTCAGAGGTGAAAAGATCGACCCTTAAACAAGGAGGATTTCTTGACTATATGAATAACTGTTTATTTTGTAGGTTGTCCCTTGAAGTTGTAGAAAAATGCCCTATCTATAAATGCCAGAGGTACTGATAAACATTGTCAGACTTAATTTACAGTTTTTTTGAAGACGATATAAAATATAAATATTGGACTGGCCTAAATTAATTCAAGAAACTTAATAGTTTTGTCTATGTTAGGTATGTACACCTATATCATGAAGATTGAATTAAATATGTACCGATATCTATCTGGGAGGTAAACTATGTAGACAGTGCAGTGTTGTAAAGGTTATATTTTTAAAATCGGCTCATTGAGACCTTTTCAGTGGTATTCTATACCATGTATAGTGATGTCACAATATAAGTTGATTTAAAAAAAAAGATAATGCTATGTTCAATGTTTAATAAACTTACAAGTTAAACGTTAAACAACACTATTTAACTCTCACGTTAATCGTACTATTTATAGATGCATGTTGGAGGTAAAAGACACTAGGTATGTCATAAAAAATTTGTTATCAGAACATAGAAATATGTTACAAAAACCAACAATTCATGTATGTTAAAAAAAGTTTTAATTATTAGTAAACAATATATATTGTGACAATAATTGGGGCCAACTGAATTTGTTGTAGAAATATAATTATTATATTATATGTAAATATGAAACACGAAAAGTGTTCAACCAACATTCAGTCTGCTCTACTATAAAGCTGACTAGAATGACAGCACAGTTTATCTTCGAAGTACTGATATACCTATTAATTAATTTTCGACTCTTTGACTTTATCATTCTTTTAGTGTACCTATTTTTTAGGCTATTATGTTATTGTTTTAGCCTTGATTATATTATTATTCTACTCTTCACACAGTCTGTGAATAGTATTATAGGTTTACTTTGTCTGATGTCATGGTTTTTGTCTGCACGATAAGTCAAACACGTAAAATGATATCAACTTGAAAATTTAAAGCAAAAACCAAGCTCTATAAAGGGACAAAGCCTATTGTTTATGAAAAAATCTGATTAAAAATAGGGGGTTGGATGAGTTAAAATTAAAACAAAATCCTAAATTAAAAAAGAAAAACGATATCAACATGAAATGTTTAGTAAAAATGAAACTCTATAAGAAGAGATAAAGCATATTGATTCTGAAAATGAGGGTTTAGAGGGTCTGTTAAGCTGTGAAAATTATAATTTAGAATGCCACGCATTATATATCACTCTAGTTTGTATCTGTGTAATATTATGTATTGTGATGGGACTGATCTTATAAAATACACATTTTAGTTCACTTGTTTTTTTGCCAATATAGAGAAATATATTATTTTATTTAACATGTGTGACAAATAATGAAAATGATTAAATTTACAATAATGTAATGTGAGCCATTTCATTATTCAGTTATGCTATAATACTCCAAGTTCCTCTCTGTATTATTTGACCATTGAGGCTCAACTTGTCCGCTTATTATACATAATTAAACCCCTTAAGACCAAACCTATGGGACGACTATGGTGGATGTGCTTTCGATGATGTTCGAGAAAGAACTAGATAATGTTTCTAGTGAGAGAATATGTGAACTTACTAGAACATTCGCCAATTTTTTAAATTTGTATAAATATTGGTGGAGGACTCATCAGAGTTAGTTATTATATGGACAGTGAAGATAAATAGTAATTAGTAGATAGACAGTGGTGAATATAAATAGTGATCAGTTTAAAGACATTCGAAGTATATATAAATTAGAATAGTTGTGTTATAAAATAAATAAGTGTTTAAATAAATTATTAATAAATAAACTGTTGTTTTAAAGTAAACAAACATCACAATAAAAACTGAAAAAAATGGTAGGTAAAGTCTCATGTAATATTTTTTACACAAAAATCAATGTAAATTTAAAAATAATCTCAAAATATGAAGAAAAGTCAGTTGACTAATGTTTATAGATGGTTTTCAACGTATTAAAAACAAAACAAATATTACAATAACTAAAATATTCATTTATTCATTCATTAATAGTTGTAGTGCTTGAAAACAGTATGATATTGATAATAATAACTACAGATGTACAAGATTTTGAACCGAACTTACAAATGATAAAATTATTAAAAAAAGTGAACACCCATTTTAAATTATCACAACCCGCCACTGAGTATATGAAGATTTAGAAATACCAAGATGTTTTAATTGTCAACAATTTTATCACAAAAAAGTGAACGCAAGAATATAATGGTTTGTCCCAGTTGCTCTGAAGAAAACAAAGATGAAGAATGTCCCAAACAGGAAATACTCTGCATGAATTGTCATTTATCTAACCGTAATTACAACACAAACCACGCCACTGGACACCAAAATAGTGACCGCGAGTGTAGACATTTTAAAGAGCAAGATAGGCTATCTAGAATAGTACTTTTTATAAATTTTTTTAACTATTCTAATTTTATTTACTTTTATGTTTAAAATATTTAGACTTTGTAATTTGAACTTTCGTTCTCTGGTGACAAATTTTGACAAATTTCTGAGTTTGGTAAATGAGTTTGACTGTATTGCTGTTACTGAAACATGGTTGTCTGCAAATATTGACACAAACACCATTTCAGTTCCTGGATTAAATTTTTACTGACTTGATAGACAATCTAGAGGTGGTGGTGGTGTTGGTCTTTATTTAAATAATTATACTACTGGTTTACAATTAGTTGAATTTAATTCCTCTGACTTAAACTGTGAGCAAATGTGGATTAAATTTACGATAAACGGTTTTCGCGTTTGCACTGGAATTACGAAGTGTGACAAGTAATGAGACTGATTTCATAAAATCCCTATATTTAAAAAATATTCTACAATTCTGCCATCCCCTTCAAAGTAATCCCCTTGGGCAGCTATACAACGATTCCAGCGCGTTTTCCACGCTTCGTAACATTTCTGGAATGCTTTGACTGGGATGTCTGCAAGTACTTTCGACACGGTCTTTTGGATGTCCGTAACCGACTCAAAATCGATTCCCTTTGACCATTGATTTTGCTCGAGATCAACGATGCCGAACTTGGTCTAAATGATTACAACATCTACAAACAGGATCGTACATCCCAGACAAGAGGTGGTTTTAATAAGGAAAAAATTCAACTAAAACCCATCAACTGAGCAACTGTTTATTCACCTATAGTATGTGCAAACACATCTTAGGTACCATAATATTAATAATTATTTCTCCTTTAAGATCATTGCAATTCATCTAGGGTACGTCATAAATACAGGGTGTAACTAAATAAGTGTAAAACATTTAAGGGGATGATTCCTCATCGAAAAAAAGGTAGGATCTTTCATATAAAGAAACTTCATTGGAGCATCCCTTGTTAAGATACAGCCCCTTAAAGGAGGTACATAAAATTTGTTTAACAATTTTTTTCACAAGCACTAAACAAGTTACAATATTGAAATTAACCTGTCATTTTCTACTACCAAAAAGACACTTAGCCAGTAATTTATTTGGTTTAGGAGGAGGAGGAGTACCCCATGTTTGTAAGGGGTGGAAAACGCAAACCCTAAAATTTCGTTCCAACGTAACTTTTTGTCTTATTTGTTTACCATTTAAAAAATTCAAGAGACATTTTTTGTTTAGAATGAAACAGGCTATCGGAAATAAATTTTTAAATGGTAAACAAATAATAAAACAAAAAGTTACGTTGGAACGAAATTTTAGAGGTTGCGTTTTCCACCCCTTACAACCATGGGGCAAACCAAATAAATTACTGGCTAAATGTCTTTTTGGTAGTAGAAAATGTCAGGTTAATTTCAATATTGTAACTTGTTTAATGCTTGTGAAAAAAATTGTTAAACAAATTTTATGTACCCCCTTTAAGGGGCTGTATCTTAACAAGGGATGCTCTAATGAAGTTTCTTTATATGAAAGATCCTATCTTTTTTTCGATGAGGAATCATCCCCTTAAATGTTTTACACTTATTTAGTTACACCCTGTATAATACAATTCAATTTTCACTGGGAAGGGCCCTCCCCCACATATTGTAATCTATTTTTTTTTAAGCTGCCGGGCCCCCGGGGCTAAGTATTCCTAGTAGAGTAATCATGCAAATATTGATTTTTGGAAAACCATTATTTTTTATAATTAAAATACATTTGTAAACATTTATTGCAGCAAAATGTTTGCCTCGAATCAAAGTAAAAAATTAATCTTATAATTCGTTTTTGTGCAATGAAAATCCTTTGTGCATTTGAAGAATTTCCATAAAGAACGACATATGATAAATAGCAATAAACTAGTGCATAATAAACCTGGAGTAGTTATTCATTATAAAATGTGCTTTTTAATTGCAAGATAACACAGTAAGCACTGTTCAACTTTTTGCAGATGTAATCAACATGAGAGGTCCAATTTATGTTACTATTTAGTCATTTTGAGACCCTAATTAACTCTAAATAGATACCAGATAGAATAAATTTTGTTCAAAAAAATATTGAACCAAATTATAAAATAGGTAACATAATCACTACATCATTAATAAGTTAAAAAATTTCCTTACTCCAGCAGAAAGAATGTAATTTCCTCGTTTGTTCCATTTGAGGGCAAAAATAGGTCCCTTGTGTTGGCCTAAGGTACTAGCTAAACGACCATCCGTGGTCCATATTCTTGCATAACCATCATAACTTCCTGTTGCTAGTAAACTACCATCGCACTATTGAAACAAAAAAAATGTTGCATGTAAAGGTAATTTTTATAATCTACATTCTACTATATAAAAAAATATAAATTACATACATTCCAATCAAGCGAAGTAACATCCTTGTTGCTTGGCACTTCAGTACCACCTTTCTGAATACAATGTCTCAAAACTAACTGATTAGGGCTAGCAGTGTTATCAGACATATCCCAAATTCTCGCAGTACTATCCCCAGAACCACTAGCCAATAAATCAGTGGTGGGATTCCATGCACAAATAAACACTTCCGATTCGTGACCTCTAAGAACTGTTGCCTTAGATGAAGGGATCTCTATGGATGTGTCAACTTCCATCGTTTCATTTTGAGTTGAAACCACAGCTAAAAATTATATATATATATTTTTTATAATACAAAATATTGAATAACATTAACTAACCTTCTTCTCCATTAGTCTCATTTTGTTCAGCCTTAATAGCTTGTTTCTGTTGGTTTTGCTGATTTTGTCTACTAGCAACTACATCAGGCATAACAGCATCTATTAAACTCAGACTTTCCACCAATCTTTGCTCAGTTCCATCTTCACCTATACTGATTTCAGCCTCAGTATATTGGAGACCCTTTTGTAATATACTTAGTAAGGCTGCAGGAGGAACCAATGCCCCATTTATATTGGATTGAGATATGTGTGACTCTATACCAAAGGTATAAGCAGAATGTTGAAATCCTGGAACAAAAACAGTTATAAAAGCATTCTGAACAAGAAAGCCTGAACAAAAATGTGGTTATGTATGAATAAATTGCTAATTACCGGATTCCTGTAAATATCTGTATACCAAGAAATTCACTTCGTCACTAGAGAAACTCATCTTTAATTTAGTTCTCTTGGTCCATTTAATTTAAGTTAAAAAACGAAATAAGCATTGTTTAGAATAATATGTAGATAATACAATAGAAATAAACATCAGCAACAACCGTCAATTGTCACTATGACAAGTGACAAGTCAAAAGTGGTCTTTTATATAAATAATATGAAGGCAATCAAAGTTAACAATATTCAGCAAAAAAGCAAAGTCGTCTAACTTAAAAAGATACAAAAACTTAAATTAAAATACATTGTACAATTTATACACGCTATAATTATTATCTACTTTATTATATTTATAATAAAGCACCCTGTCTGTAAACAGGTATTGTAAAAATCACCTTCTTTTAATTTCCTTTTTTTTTAGTTCTCATGTCTCAAGTTAATTTAAAAAAAAGAAGAGTATTCTAACCTCTACAATTCCTGCATGTTTTAAAAATTAAAAAATATTGTTGAGTTTCTGTTCTTCAGGTTTTTCTACAGTATTTCTAACTTACAATGGGTGAAATTGAGGACGAGAATTTTCCTCGTGGAGGAACTAGACCACGTTTTTCCGGAAAGCGTCAAAAAGAAGATGATAATGTATGTTTTTATAAAGATATTAGTTAATATTGTTGTTACTAACATTTTAAACTTTTTAGCTATTTTCACACACCAAACAAGCCAAAAATAAAAAACAAAGAAAGGAAAGGGTTATACCCGAAACTATAAGCGACGAAACTTTTCATTCATCCCTAAATATACAAGGAACTTTAACTTATAACGTAAATAGTAGGTAGATTTAAATTTAAAACAATATTCATTTAATTTTTTTTAGAGCTTGAAAACAGACATGATTATATTGGGCTGCATTAGACACATTACAAATTTTTCTTTAGAAGTTGAATTGCCAGGACTAACTTTTGCTTATGTGAATATTACAAATATATCGGATCCTTTTACAAAGCACTTGAATTCGAAATTGGAAGAATCAGATGAAGACGTTAGTATAACTATTTAATGAATAAATAAATCCGTAATGTTAATCTCATTTCTATATTCCTACTTTCAGAGTGATATATTGTTGAAGCAAATGTTCAAAATAGGCCAATTCATTCTAACAAAAGTGATAAATATAGAAAGTAAAGAAAAGGGCATTCATGTAGAATGTACAATAAATCCTAGAGATATTTATAATGACAAATCCCACAATTCTTTTGAGAAAGGGATGCTGATATGGTGTTCTGTACAAGCTGAATTAGAACATGGGTATGAAATAAATGTTGGAGTAAAAAATTGCAGGGTATTTTTACCTTCTAAGAATGTTGATGGAGATAGAAAATTATGTAAGAATTAGACCTTTCTCTATAATTATTTACAATAGGTAGTATCCGAGGTAGTATCTTAATTTACAAATAGACTTTTACATTTGAAATTTAAACTTGCCTTGCAAGTATTTGATACAGTTATTTCTAATATTGGATTTAGTTGTAGGTGAACTTCTGTGGGGCACTATTCACAAATGTGACAGTTCGAATGTAGCTAGTACTCTAAGAATTAGTTCTAAGAGTGAACATTTAAAAAATACCAAAATAGAAGAAATGAATAATTTGTATGATTTAATTCCTGGTATGCAAATTGAAGTTATGGTAGATAAGGTAAGTTTTAAAAATTATGGCTATCAGTTTTTGGTAATCTTGTAGTTTTGGTGGGTTCTAAATGCACAATTGTTTGCAGATCACCAATACTGGTATACAATGTAAATTCCTTAATGATTTGTTTGGATACATTGATGAAGGGCATTTATTAAAGGATTTAAGTAAATACCAGGAGGGCAATTTGCTAACAGCTTATATTTTATACATTGATCATGCTGTGAAAGTCACATATTTTACTACTTTTGAATTGGATTTAGCTCAATTACCAGAATACAAAATTGGAACTACAGTCACAGCAGAGGTAAGTTGTTTAATTTTAAAGATTTTTATTTTTATAAACAGGTTATATTTTAAAGAAGGAAGAGAATTATCTAAAATCTAAAGAATGACTTTTTGGAATTAGAATCTGTTTCACCAGAGAAAAACCCATCTGAAGTTGCAGTCATATGCACAAACGTGTCGTCATAACCAGCGCCATATTATATGATGTTTGACTTCAAATCAGTAGCGTAACCATTTCAAATTTAAATATAAATCGATGGTCTCAAATCAATACCTCCTAAGTACGAAATTTCGAATTTTTACTTTTTCCCATCTATACAAATTAATTTAGAAACAAATTTTAAAAATAACAAAATATGTTTATAGGTTATTCATATATTTATTTACTTGTCAACATTATTTATCAAATAATTAATTGGCTTTATTAAGAAATCAAGACAGTTTAATGTTCCTTCTCTAAAATGTTTAATGTGGACATACGAGGAATTGATTTGAGACTGTCGAAATATGAAAATGGTGTTGTCATTTTCACCAGTTTTAATAAAAGAAATGTTGAAATAAAAAAAATGCAATTTGCAAATCCCTTATAGATTCTATTGAATATGTAATATAGGAAGGAATTATCACTTTTATGGGTTTTTAAGGCATACATCATTTAAATGGTCAATAAATATGCTATTGAATTAGCGGGTGGAAATTGGAGATAGGGGTGAAAATGCAACCCTTAGAGTTCTTTAATTATATCTTGGAAACGAAGCAAAATTCATGCAGTTAATATAGAATGTTTTGTAAAAAATACGATTATTACACATCAAATTATATATTTAAATTTTTTCATTTAAAATATATAAAAAAAGAATTTAATATGCAAAAATTATTTTTTTTTTACTTTTTTGCATATAATTGCTTTCTGAGTAGAGGTAGGTGCAGGCATTGCTTTATACAACAAAAAGTATATTAAATTTCTTTTAAAATCTTGGATTATAAACGTTTTTTGGATAAAAATAGACTATCTTAGGACATAATAGCCTATTCAAGCCCTAAATATATCGATTAGGTAATAAAAAGAGGTAAAAAACACAAAATAGGAACTTATAAAATTGTTAATTTTAATTTAGGAATGCTTGAAAAATATTGGTAACATATTGATTATTAAATGGTTTACTCAGATTACTGGCAAAATCATTGAAAAGTTGGAACTCAAATGCCATAATATGGCATAATATGCAACTTTAGCATTAATTTTTAAATTTTGAAAAACAGGGAAAAATATATAAATTTTTAAAACATTTCACATCTAAAAACTTTAATGAAATCTGCAGCATACAATAATAGTAGTTAATCAAACGGCAAGTGTAAGAACAATAAATACAAAATAGCTTAGTGATAATAAATGTTTGTTGTATTTCTTATGCAATTGACTGTTAGTTGCACATGTGTGAAATATTTTACAAAATTTTATTATTTTTACCCTTACTTCAAAAATTTAAACTTGTTTAATACCATTTATAGTTAAACAAATTGATGAAATTTTAGATGTTAGTTACTAGTTATTGGAAAAGTATATTATGAAGAAATTTAAGATTTTTTGTTTATTGACTTTAGTAATATAATGATTTTAAAATCATCAATTTGAGCCATATCACAAAATTTGAAATATGTTTACCTAGAATTTAGGTAGGTAAGCTGGAAAAAATTATATCTTGTAAGCCTGTATTATTAATCGCTTTCAAAGTCACTAAGCAATTCTATAATACTCACTGCTGCAATCATCCTCTGAAGTAGATTCATTAGACGATCCTGTATTTATAGTAAACACAAGAGAATCTACAGCATTATCCAGAATGTTCTTTTTTAATCCATTCAGATTCGCAAATAGAATAATACCATTCTTGAACAGAAAATTTCTTCCTGGCTAATTTCTTCACATCACCCAGTTCAAATGCCACTTAGTTCTTAATCAGTGCCCATATTGTTTTATTGGGTTGAATTCTGGATGATAAGGTGGTAACCATAACACTTTATGCCCTTGTTCTTTCAGTAAACATTTCAATTTATAGGAAACAGGAATACTTAACCGATTTTTTTTATTAATTCATACAAAGCGGGTTTTTCAATTTTGTGGGCCCTAAGCCATTCTAACATTTCTGCTTTCCTAGATGCAGAAGTAATACTTTTTTCATTTTTCACGATGTGGTAAGAAGCATTATCTACAACCAGAACTGATTTCTCAGGCATATTGGGCAATAGTTGTTCCTGAACCCACTTCATAAAGTATGAATGATTCATGTTATCATGGTAGTCTCCACTTTTAGAACCTAAAATTTAATCTAGACCCACACGAAAATTTACTATTTTATAAACATTCAGTACACATATGAAGTGAAGGATTGAAAGTTTTATTTGAATTTAATTTAATCCAAAAAAAAAATAGCAGTGCAACATGTCATATTAAGACATTGTAAATTGTGTTGCCTAATTTGACTGTTAGAATTATCTTTTATTATATAATAGTCGTTTTCTTTTTACAAGCATAACTAAAAGTTAGATTCTGATCTAAGCTTAACTGTAAAAAGAACGCGAATTTTGGTTGACAGGTGACGTGCCCCATGCCATCCGTTTAAAAACAATCCATATTTTAATCAAATTTTATAATTTTTTCAACATTCAACACTACAAATCTCACCCCCTGTTATCATAGTCTTTTATTCTCTCTAAAATAATGAATTCATGGGATACGTTTGTTCATATGATGCACAGAACACTCACTTTCTGTAGGCGAGTTCGGTCAGTCAGGGGCTGGAGCGGGACAAATTTTAGGGTGCTTTTAAATGACATTTAAGCGTGTTAAACTGTCACTAATCGGACTAAACCGAACGCTGAAAGAGTCGTTTGGAGTTAAAAGTGTTAAAGGAGTTAAAGGAACGTGGCAAACCGAACGCAATGTGTGATGGTTTATGGTTGACGTCAAGTACCGTGCACCTTAGCGCGGTAAGGGGGGAAGAAAGATTCTGACTTACAATCATAAAAAGAACGTACATCTCAGCTTAGTCGATGTAAGTCACAAAGCATGTATCTTCTAGAGACCCCACGCCAATGTTAAACTTTTAAACCAAATTAGCGACACCTTGTGTTTGGAGCTGGAACTAAAATGACAATTGACAGATGGCGGTAAATTCAAATTGTAATTTTTAGGAGTAGGTAGTAGTTTTAAATTAAATTTTAAATGATTTCCACATAAATTATTTTATAAAATAAAGTATGGAACTAGTAAGTTCGAAACTTTTATTTTACAAAATAATTTAGGTCGATTATACCAAATTTGAAGAATTAATTTGTTATAAGGGGTCTAATGTGGAGAGTTGGTTCTGCATATTTGTATTAAATAAATATAAGATATATCAATAAATAATAAAATGGAACATTCTTAAGATATGTTTATTAATAACTTAAATAAATATTATTAGATAAAAATAAATACAAATAATAATACATATTTAACGAATACTTACTTGGAGCAAATAGATATATAATCTCAAATCTTTAAAATACCTATCAATAATTTAAATGTGAAGTAGAGACTAGGATATTACATTTTATTAACACTAAAGTTATATATTTTATAAATGTCTTTTTAACTGAGGACAAATGTAATATAGGTATTGTATTAAAAGGTGAATCCTTTTAACTATTCATTCAATGATAAATAGGTATTTTCCTTCTAAATACAGATGGTGATACATATTTCGGAATCCAGTCCAGTGATAAATTGATTATCAATTAGTTGTTGTCCCCGTTTGTCTTTTTATGATGCAGATGCATGGTGAATATATGGTGAATCAATGAAGTTTTTTTCGAAGTTTTCAACGTAGCACCAAAATTATTGCAAAACACAGTAGGAAATAAAAAAGCGAAACATCACAATTTTGCAAATAACTAAGACGAAACTATAAACAGAAACCAAAAGCCAAAGCCAACAAAAAAATCACTAAAATCAGACGGAAAAATGAAACTAACCAAGAACATAAATAAATACACGTCACATCTTTGGAGTCTTTGGTTAAGTTTTTCTCCCATAAGGCTTAAAAATGGAGTAAGAAATCATAATTTCACCAGTAGCCCCATCTAGAGTTTGGAGCAAATAGCATAAAAAATGTCAGTTGTCGGTTTTGACCTTGGTCATTCACGTGGAACCTCTATGTGCTTTGTGATGTAAGTTAGCTCAGATTAGTTGTAAACAGAAAACGACTAATGTTTTAAAACCAATGAAAAAATTTATCTAAAAATCAGTACATGTTTTTCGTTCTAGCCCAACATTTTTATGGACGCTAATGAGTGAAATTTGTTTTTCTACACATTCAAATTAAATAATTTTTTCTACTATAGTCATTACTATTAAACAGCGTTTTTCCCTAAATTAAGATAAAATATGTTATACCTGATGTATACAGTATTTATAAATAATTGGGACAATCGATATTTCAAAAATAACGCTTTTCAATATATGTAGAGACATACCTAAACGAAATATTAATAAGGCATTAGGAATAAATCCTTTTTCTCCACCTCCATGTACAATAACAAGTCTCCTTCCTTTTGAGATTGGCTTCTTTAAACCTTTTCCTGATATATTATACCATCCCTTAGATTGCACATGTGAGCTGTGGATGTATGTTTCATCAGTATAATATTACAGCCATCATTTCGATATTTAATAACATTTTCTGAGAAAGTAATTCTTTTGAAGCGAATATCATAAGATTCCATAATCATTTTTCTGTTATCTTGTGTTCGCTGTCATCTACAATTATGGATTATTTTTAATTAAATACTTAAGCTTGTTACTTATTAATATTTTTAATGTTACAATGTCTATTCTAGTCCTATATTATTTTTTTCTTAAAGCCTACTAAAAATACACTTTAACTTTAAAAAATACTTACAAACCCCATACTTTTTAGCAGCCTCCATAAAGAAGTTTTACTTTGTGAAGAATACCTAGAAAAATATATATTCCTTAATAAAACACTTTTTTTTTTATAAAAATTATTAAAATACTTTCGAGCCTAAAAAATATTTACGGTTAAAAGTGAACTGACAGACGTTTCCTTTGAAGATTTTTAGTATCTGTCAATGGTACAGTATAAAAAAAAACCTGTTTTCACACACATAATACAAAAAAATATTGTATTTCTATCAAACTTACATTTTAAACTAGGAGCCCTTTTCTCCAGGATGTAAAAATCATAAATGATCTCCCGAATCCTTTCCAGTTCTACAAGTTTCCGTGCTTCCAGTACTGATTTTTTCTTCGGTCTCTTTTTTTGAGAAGATCCAAACAAAGTAGATGCTCCTCTTTCAATAGCTAAGGCTTCCTTTTTAATTCTGGTGTAAGTACTTTTACTCGCATCAGTTGCTTTTAGAGTTCGTTCTCTGCAATTTAAAAATATAGGCATTAAAAGTCAGCAATATTTACATTGTATGGTTGTGGAAATACTCCTAGTCCCTAAACAATGCCCCGTTTGAAATTAAATTATGGCTAAAAACAAATAAGATCACATTTCAATAAAATGATATATAGGTAGTAATAAATATCTGTATTTTATCAAAATTAACTCTAATTTTTTCTCAAGGAAAATAGAGGTTGCCTATATTAAAAAGACTCGATTAGGATATATATTTTACGAAACGGAAGTCTTGGATTTAAATGTCAATTTTGATAATAAAATTTTAGAAATGCTTTGGGTTAAAATTAGTCTTGGAAATATGGCAATTGTTTTAGGCGTCGTTTATCGTATTCCTAACACCAGTGTTGAAAGAGCAATCGACTGTCTTGATAATATACTATCATTAATAGTTCCTGATTACGATAACATTATGATAGTTGGCGATATTAATGTAGATTTACTACAGATTGGCAATAAAATTAGTAGATGTTTACAGTCTTATGCTTTTGAACAGGTAATTCAGGAACCAACGAGAGTAACCTCGCACTCTGCAACTCTCCTTGATCCTATCTTTCTTAATTTTGCAGCCCAATGTCATAAAGCTGGTGTTTACAATACTGATCTTTTTAGTGATCACAGCCTTTCTTATTGCGAAATTTCTTCTATGGTGCCAAAATTACCTCCAAAAATGATTACTTTTAGGGATTTTAGACATTTTGATTTAGATCTTTTTGATAACGACCTTCGTAATGTTCGCTGGTCTGACATTTTGTATATACGTAATATAGAAGAAAAAGTTCAATTTCTTAGAGAAAACATTTTAAATTTATTCGATATTCATGCACCGATAAAAACGGTTAAAGTTAGTAAACCTAAAGCTCCCTGGTTAACTGACAATTTAAAACTTATCCTGAAGTTACGCAATAAAGCCTTTTCAAAATATAAAAGACTAAAAACAGTTGAGAATTGGGAACATTATAGAGAATTAAGAAACTATGCAAAAGCTTCGCTACGCAGAGAAAAAGCTGCATATTTGCATTCTCTGTCAAAGCAAAAAAATACATCTACCTTTTATAAAGCTTTAAAAAATTTCAAAATACAATATACTAAACCTTCCAACATTCCAACACATTTGTCTGATCCCGATGATATAAATAGTCATTTTATATCAGTTTTTCAAAATGACGAAACTGCATGCTCAAGCAATATTGATTATTATCAACATAACAAACATAATTCAGGAAACACTTTTTCTTTTAGAATGACAGATACATCAACCATTTTAAAAATAATTCAAAAAATCAAAAGCAATGCTAAAGGAGCAGATGGTATTACTTTACAAATGCTTAAACTATGTTTTCCAGTTATAGGTGACTACATCACTCATACTATTAACTGTTGTCTTGAGATAGGATTCTTTCCTAATTCTTGGAAAGAAGCTTTAGTGTCGCCACTTTCTAAAGTATCCAATCCTGAATCATGCAATGATCTACGTCCTATCAGCTTATTATGTATACTTTCAAAAATATTAGAAAAAGTTGTCTATCTTCAGTTAAATGATTACGTAAACAGTTCCAAATTGATAGTTGGTGATCAATCCGGATTCAGAAGTGGTCATAGTACAGTAACAGCCCTAACAAGAGTTTGTGATGACATTATCGGTTCATTTGATAAAAATATGTCAACTGTATTAGTTCTTTTAGATTTTAGTAAAGCTTTTGATACGATTAATCACAAACTTCTTATATCTAAATGCAAATATCTTGGATTTGATAATATGGCTCTTAATTTATTCAAATGTTACCTTACAGACCGAAAACAGAGAGTCGTTATTGGTGGTAAATGTTCCAAATTAAAATCTATTTGCTCTGGCGTCCCACAGGGCTCTGTGCTAGGACCCCTTCTCTTCCTATTATACACGTTTGATATGACTAAATATTTACAATTTTGCAAAAAACAGTTATTTGCAGACGACACTCAATTATATTTTCATTTTAATCCTTCCGAATATGAAATAGCTAATGTCCGCATAAATCAAGATTTGCATAAAATAAGCGAATATGTGAAAGGGCATGGTTTGAAATTAAATGCTAAAAAATCAAAATCTTTGTTGTTTTCTCCAAAAATATATAGGAATATGCTTAAATCGGACATGCAGATTAAGGTAAATGGTGAACAAATAAAATTTTCTCCTTGTGAAAAGAATTTGGGTTTGTATTTAGATGAAAATTTAAAATTTGTTGAACATGTTTCTCAAGTGTCAAAAAATTGTTATTTTCGTCTAAGACTCTTATATGCAAGTAAACAATATTTAACATTTAACATGAAAAAAACCCTATGTGAAAGCTTGGTAATCTCTAAAATAACATACTGCATCTCTGGATACTATCCTTGTCTCGACAGGGCTACTGCAAACCGTTTACAAAAAATACAAAATTCGTGTTGTCGGCTTGTTTGTAACAAAAGAAAATATGACCACATATCACCTTACATTATTTCATTAAAATGGTTGAAAATGGATTCTTTGTTCAAATTTCTTTTCTTATTATTTTTAAGCAATTTATTAAAAGCTAATTCACCATTATATTTAAGAGAACGGATTACGTATAGGATTGACGCACATGCCTTAAATTTGCGAAATCGCCATACTATCGCCATGCCACGACATAGAACTGCCATGTTTCAACGGTCATTTAGCTATAATGTCGCTAAAGTATACAATTCACTAAATACACACTTAAAATCATATTTGAGTACTAGTTCATTTAAAATAATGTTAAAATCATATTTTCTTGGTAGCCAAGCAAATGAAAATATTTAATTCATATTCTATGTTATTTATTTTATTTGTTTTATTTAATTCTTGTTCTTAATTTAAATTTGAATTCATCCGTAGACATTCAGCGTAATGTAGAGTAGGTTAGGTTTAAGTTAGTTTTAGGATTTGTGATATGGTTAAGTTGAATGGCCATTTGGCTAGACTACGCCATTTATACTTTGTAAATGTTGTTTTGCTGGTATAATAAAGACGTTTATTATTATTATTATTATTAATTAAAGAAATGTAACACTAGAAGATTGTCTTGCAAATATACCAAGATACATAGTTTTTCATTGTATAAAATAACAAATATTTCAGGCAAAATCATATAAGTCGAATACTTTTTAGTAGAATTCAATTATTTTTAAACAAGACATAATTTGGTTTCTGCGACTGTCATTGTTGCAACTTCAGCTGGCTTTTCCTTTCGTGAAAAAATTAACATCTCATTTCTTTCTGTGAAAGTATCTTCAAAGTGAAAACAAACCAAAAGTAGTAGAAGCTGTTTAAAATCTACAAGCATTTTTTAACAAATGATTTAGTTACTCGTCTTATGATTAATACCAGTATTAGTAATGTAGAAGGCGTATTAAAAATAGATTGCTCAAACTGGAAGATATAAGCCAATAAAGAAGTAATTAATTCTATACTTTGAACTTTCCTTGTCTTCTGTTTAAAGCCACAATAACATCTGAAAAATGTGGAGCCATTAAACATTTGTCTTTGTTTAATGCCTATGTTCAAAACCTACAATTAGTATCGAATCTAAAACATAGCATAAATATTTAAAACAGAGATAGGGACAACTGAAAAAAGGAAGTAGTGTAGTAAATACTTATTGCATACTATTGTGTATAGGCTACCAATACACCACCACTATTATATAAAGGGTTGCATACCCTTCGGGTCATCAATCATTTTAAGGGGGCAACACTTTTGGTTTCCTCTCAGAACCATTGTTCAAGGTGGTTCGCCTTATTTATTCTGTGTTTTATGTAATTAATCATTCATTCCATGTCTGGAAGCTTAAGTAACAGGTTCGCGAAGAGATCTGTGGCTACAGGTGTTGAATTATTATGCATGGTGAATAAATTAGTTGAAGTTAAACTTCGTTTTATTTGTGAAAATACCGGCCATCCCTACAATAGAAAAAACCAAGGCTCCCTTCTAAGCAGTAAAGCTACTTATCATCATCAATAAATATAAATTATATATTTTTCATTAAAATAATCAACTCATCTTTTTTTTAAGGTAATTTCCAAAGCACGCAACGGTATATATTTAAAACTACCCTCAAAAGCACGTTGCATAGTAACCAACAGAAGACTCATCAACTCTTTGCCAAAAAAATTCGCCAATATGGATATCTCCGAAACTATCCGTCTAAAATTCGCCCCGAAAACTCGTCATAATTGCCGAATTTTAGACTATAATCATATGTCCAGAACGTACATTGGAACTGTGGAACCGTCATTGATTAAAGAAACTATTTTCACAGCTGAAGATGTTGTTCTAGGACAGCTGTTACATGTGGTCATTGACAAAGTTAAGGCAGAAGGTTTGGTAGTATCGGCGGGGCATATAAAAGGATTTATACCGAATTTGTATCTATCGAATATCAAATATAGTGATGCTATTAAGAAGAAATTTAAGGAGGATCAGAAGGTTAAAGCTAGGTATGCATACAATAAATACAGATTTTTTTGAAATTTAATTTAATAGTCTAAGAGCCCATGACATTTGACCTTACGTCATCAGGTATGTTCATAAAAATAATATAAGCGTAAGCAAATCCTGTGCAAAAATAGTGCATTTAATTATTGAAAATTTGTTTAATTACGAAAATTTGAGTGCCCGGAAATGTGAAAAATTTATAGTGTGTGTGTACTTAACACTTCATTGCATGAAAAATATATGCGAGCTGCTTATATCGGCGACGTAAAAAATGGTGGTTGAAAGGCACCTTTTACTACCCCTGAGGTTACTTAAATTACTAAAAAGATTTCTATAATAAAGTGTTCATATTTTTTTTAATTTTTTTTCTTGATGTCTCAAGTCACCCGCGTTTTCGGTTGACTTGAAACACCCTTTATTTTGTACGAATAACTCAAGATACAAAAGGATCGAGCAACTTGAGACAACAAAATAAGGTTTTAAAAAATGTATGGCTGTTCAAAACGCAAAAAAAACAATTATTACAAAAATAACATGCTTATATTAACATGAACCATTCAACTTGGTAACTAAAGCATTCTTAGAATCAGCCTTTAGAAACTATTTTTAGGAACAAAGTAAACAAATCTATTTTTTTTTATTAAATGTCAACGGAAAAACTGTTTAACGAAAACAACAATTCCTAGATATTCTTAGAAAAAAATATAAAAATTTTTAGAATCAACCTCTAGGAACAAAATAAACCTAAATCTACTTTTTTAATTTACACGTTTACGGAAAAACTGTGCCTTCCTCTTTTTATAAATAGTGAAATAATTTGAGAGGCTTCTATAGCTGCCAAATCTGGGATATCAGGGAAAACATAAATATTTTTATTGGAGTTAGTACTTTTTCTTAGGAATTTACAGTTAAATGTTGAGTTTTTTATTATTTCTGTCACCTGACCAATAATTTTCTTATTCACTATTTTGTTGTTTGGGGCTTCGTAGGGTATTTTCACCAAAATAAAGCTACCTTTTTCAATTTTAATTCCTCTTCGATATCTGATTCGAAATTCTCCGCGGAATCGGAGAAAACTTGAAGGGAATATGAATCCGATTCAGACGTTTCTCCATCGCTGCTTTTTCGGCGCTTTCTGACTTGTTTTCCGTTAGTTTCCCGCAACGATAAAAATAAGGAAGTTCTTCATCTGAGGGTTCGCCAGCCTCCACTTCCTTTGACGGTGAGGGTGTAGGTACAGTTTCAGATTCTTCACCAGACTGTTGTTCTTCTCTATTGGATATACTGGCTCCAGGTTTGACGTTTAGTCTATGCTTTTTTACGGTTTTTGGTACAATTTCCTTTTCATATAAATTGCTCAAAAAAATTTCGAAGGCATTGTCTACTGTTATATCTGCTTCTTCCACTGGCACAACTTCAGGTGGCAACTTTTTTAAAACACAGTTTTTATTTAATGGGTATATTCCTGTTGCTTTGAACCCAGCGACAAGTTTTTCTTTTCATTTATCCCCTTCATTGAGTTTTTGGAAAGTTTTATTTAACAACCTCGGAAAAACGTCTTGCAATCACTTTCTGCCTCCCTGGGTCATCCCAGATATTCGTTTCATCATAATTAACTATTAAGTCCGGATCTACACCAGCAACAGTTTTTTCGAGCTCAACAAAATATTCACTGACTGTTTTAAATGTGACCCCTGCCCTGGCCCTCTTAATATTTTCTACCCAGCGTTGACTTAAAATTTCTTTATGCCTGCTTAAAAAGCCGTATGCCCAGTCTTTGCCAGGATAATTATTTTTAAATAAGTTCATTCCTTTTGCATCTAGATACGACTTTACTGTCACCCTTAAGTCTTGGCTTGTAACAGGAAAGCCCATCTGCAAGCAGTCGCTGTATTTTGCAATATTTTCGCCTCTTCTTCAGCACTTAGTTTTGTTTGTCCCCTGGGTTTTTTCATATTAAGATTGTTAACCTTTCTTTGTATTGTTGATCGACTCACTTTATATTTTTTCTCAAGTCTTCGGAAGCTACCACCCCTCATTCTGTATTCTCATACCATTTCCAAATTTTTGGGATCAAAAACGGCATATTTGCGGCCGCTCACTTTTTGCTTATATTTCCCATTTTTACCTTAAATTAACATAACTAAATTAAAATATAACGTAAAATAAAATATATTCCGACCTTGAGGGTGACTTGAGACATTGGTCTCAAGTTACCCTCAAGAAGACATATTTTTTGTTTTTCTAATTTTTGTGCTAACAAAAAAAAGTAAAATAAACTAAACAAAGAGGAAAAGCTTGGCAATGCATAGCACTACAAACTACGGTCAACTTAATTTACAAAGCTTTCATAAATAAGGAGTTTTACATAAAGTTTTCTGGAATATTTTCGTTAAAAATTTACAGGAGCGTTCGTACATCCTCAACTCAGTCGAGAACCATACCACAGTTTATAGCTAAAGAATCAGTTCGCTCACTCTGCGTCGGCACTTTTGATCTCAATGTTCCAGTTTATACACTGCGCAACTCGGATTTGTATCACTGGTGCATACAGAATCAAATCATAACCAATAAAATATACGACAACCGCCTATATTCAAACAGGAGTCTTCTGCGCGTCCTGAATTTGTATCCCTGGAGTTGATATTATTTTGGAACATTCAACTGGTCCAAGTGAGCTAACTGATTCTTTAGCAATAAACTGTGACCATACTAAGCGTTGTCGGGACTGTCCGCAATAACCGTTGGCCGCCGTACGCCGACTGGCAGTAGCAGCGTTGCCAGATTGAATAAAAATAATTTGGAAGTAGTGTCCCAAGTAGCCCATACGTCTCAAATCACCCGAAAAGACGGTACCTCTTTTTTTAACTTATCTCTATGCTTTATCGAAGTTATTTTCCATCAGTTATCCAAGGTTTATTCTTTTTAAACCAACCCTTTTCTTATCATGAAATTTGTCTTGCCCTCAAATATCCAAAAAATACAGCACCGGGTCATGATACAATACACTATGTTATGCTGAATAAATTACCAAAGAATGCAAAATTATCTCTTCTCAACATATTTAATAATATATGGACAAGAAAAATAACAATTCCTAAAGAATGGTACGAATACATTATTATCCCTGTACTAAAACCTGGGAAAAGATCAGATCAAGCTGAATCATATAGACCAATTGCTCTTGCTTCTTGTATATTTAAGACGTATGAAAAAATAATAAAACTCAGACTGGAATATTATTTAGAAAATAACAACTTACTTTCATCTACTCAATTTGGATTTCGCAAAAATATTTCAACTCAGGATAGTATAGCAAATATAGTAACAGATATTCAACTGCGTTTATCAAAAAATGAATCTACAAGTGCTCTATTTCTAGACATAAAAGGTGCTTATGACAATGTAAATTTAAATATTTTATGTGAAAAATTATGTAAGTTAGGAATCCCCATAACTATTTCAAATCATATATATATAATTTGTATAACAATAGGAAATTATTTTTAAAAGTAAACGGTGAATTATCTTGTCCACGAGAATCGGGCCTTGGGATCCCTCAAGGAAGTATTTTAAGCCCTTTACTTTATAATATTTACACGTTTGATTTAGAAAATTCTATTCCAAGATCTACAAATATTCTTCAATACGCAGATGATGTAGTGATCTACACAAGCCACAAACAAATTAATTATTGCCATGATCAGCTATTCAAATCTATGGAGAAAATTCATAGTTGGAGTCATGAAAACGGTTTAACAATATCTGAATCGAAGTCGGCTGTAGTTACTTATACGCGCAAAAGGTATAACCATCCAAATTATATAAAGTTACATAAATATAACCTGGCTTATAAATCCTCTTTTAAATTTTTAGGCATTATTATAGACAGTAAATTAAACTGGAAGGAACATATACATTATGTTCAGAAAAGAACACAAAATGCTGTAAATATAATAAAAACTTTTACTTGTCATAATTGGGGCTCTGACCCAAATGTTAGTCTTATGTTTTATAGAATGCTGGTTCGTCCAATTATAGATTATGGTTCAATTTTTTATAATACAGCAGCAAACTCACATCTTCAGAAAATTGAACAAATTAAAAATAAATGCCTAAGACTCTGCGTAGGATTCTTACCAAGCACTCCTATAAATGTTATGGAAGTCGAAACATGTGAAAGTCCATTGGATCTAAGAAGGAAATTTCTGAGCGATAAATTTGTATTGTTATCTCGATCAAAACATTATACAGTAATTAATAAATTAAGCAGATTAACTACTCTATCCTTAACTTCATCCTTTTGGAAAAAGAAAAAACTGCCATTATTAGTTGACAGTTTTATTTCTACTTCAGATGTCAGTAACGATCTACCAGTTTCAAATGGCGTACCGCTGTGGTCCAATCCATATATGTCTCTTATTATGCCAGTTAATAGTTATATTAATAGTAAATTCGACGTTGACAACCCTTTACTAATAAAGACAAATTTTTATGAAGAATTAAATACAAAATGGAAACATTATGAAACACTTTACACTGATGGTTCTAAATTAAATAATCAAGTAGGTTACGCTTTATATTATCCCAATAAAGAGATCCAAATTTTAAAACGTTTGCCAAATTGTATGTCAGTTTATAGTGCAGAAATATTAGCAATTAAAGAAGCCTTTTCGTTATGTCTAAATCAAGAGGAATTAAATTTTGTCATTTTCACAGACTGCAAAAGTTTAGTTCAAAAGTTTCAAAATTTTAATTTTAATTCAAAAGTTAATTACATAATTTTGGACATTTTAAAACTAAATTTTGAGGCAAGAAATCAGGATAAACGAATATACATATCTTGGGTCAAAGCCCACATGGGAATACCTAATAATGAAAAAGTAGACTTTTTGGCTAAAACTGCAACAAAACTTAATTACATAAGTAATTTTAAAATACCCCTATCCGATCTAAATACTTTTTTCAGATATAAAAGGGATCAAAATTGGCAAGCAAAATA